ACCTGGCCCCAGCACCAGCCATGAGATGATTCAGATGCTGTCCCATCAGATGCTGGATGTGCTACTGGATATGCTGCTTCCCTAGCAGAGTGACGGATCCAGAAACCAAGGGACGTGGTGACAGTGGGCCCTCACAGCAGCCCTCAGCAACCCCCTCACTGCATTTTTGCCTCGCATCTCCAATACTCTGGGCTCTGGATTAGAGGTTTTGGATCCCAAATCAAGGATGCTTCCTGAAAGGAAACACCCGTGGACCTGTTGGGCTGGAGGCTGAGGCTGCCACCTGGCCATTTTGGGCTCCTCATACCACTTAGACCAACTTATAGACGGGTTTTGGGTGGGTTGAATGACCCTGATTATCCAGGGGAGAAGGTGTGGCAGCTGCACAAGGTGGGGGCGGAGAGCACAATGTCCCAAATCTAATGACTTCTCCAGGGAATTTATTAATACTGCCGAATACAGTGATAAATGTTAGTGGGGTGTTACAGGCAGGATGACCAGGAGCTCAGATCCCTCAGGAATGAGAGTTCGGATCACTTCTCCAAGGACTCTTAACTGAGGCCTATGTGGTGGCTCACAGACAGTTACAAATTTCCTACCACAGCTCCATGGAAAAGAAGTCTATTCCCTTCCCCTTAAATCTGGGCTGAGCCTATGGCTGGTTGTGACCAATAACCTTCAGTGGAAACGATGCTCTGAGTTCCAGAGCCTAGGCCTCAAGAGCCCTTTGGCCTTTTCTTACTGGAACACCCTTCTTAGAAGCCAGCCCCCTTGAACAGTGGGCCCACCATGTGGTGAGGAAGCCCAAGCAGCCCTGTGGGGGGAGACATGGACACTGAGGTCACTCATGTGGGTGGAACCTTCTTGGCCCAGCCCAGCCCAGGCACCAGCTAAACAAAGCCAAGTGAATAATCACAATCAATGCCAGGTGGAATAGAAGAACCATCCAGGGGAGGCCTACCTCAATGCCTCACCTACAGACATGAGGGAAGACAAAAGGGTGGTATTTGGGGGTATTTTGTTAGGTGACAAAAGGGAACTGAAACATCCCTCTCTCAACTTCAGAGGTTGAACTCAACACACTCTCTCCAGAGAAATCCTCTTCACCAATCATCTCTCCCCTGCCAGACCCCAACCATTCAACTTTCTCTATTTTTGATGAGGGTGAAAACTTCAAGAGCCACGTGGCCACTTTTCAGAGAAATCCTTGAAAATTTGCATCTGATCTGGCATCTCAATTTGAAACACAATGTTGCGAATATCTCAGTGCTTCAAACACATTAAAATCCTGGCTATTTATATATCCTTATGGGTTATAGACAAGTTAATTTACCTTTTTGTTCTCATACCTTTCTACTACCGCTTTTTTTTTTCTATCAGGCTGCTAGTGGTGGTGGTGGCTTTATGATTTTACATGGGCTTGACAGAGCCCCCGGAGAAAGGAGTACCCAGAGATGAATGCAGCGGTGGATGAAAATTTGGGTCTCCACCTTGGGGGAGGGGCAGGAGTGTGTCTGGGTGCGTGAGGAGCGGCCGCATGTGCCACACAGCATGGGGTTCCTGCTCCAGTGTTCCTGCCAGAACAGCTAGCGATGTGGGGCATTTCCCAGAGTGGCAGGCAGGGCCCAAGCTTCCCCCTCTGGTTCTCCAGAATTTCTGTGAACTTCCCAACAGCCTAGACTAAATGTGTCTCTGGTTAAACCAGCCAGCCTGGGTTCAGTGGTCTGCTGCCAAGACCCCAGGTTATTCTGTGAGCAGTATTATGATTACAGTTTTATAGTTGAGGAAATCCAGTCCTACTGTCCTCCTCAGAAGCCAGACTTGAGAAGCCTGTCTCTCCAGTTGGTAGCTTAGCCATGCTCCTGGAGAGACGTTCTGGTATCCTGACAGGAGGGAATTTCAGATGCTGGGGAGACAGGCAGAGCAGGTCAGAGTCCCAGCCTCTGGGTCACTGAGGATGGGCTCCCCAGTGTTGGTGAGGGACACACTCTTCTGCTTGAGGATGGGTGCTCCTCCTGGGTGGGGGTGGGGTTATACCGCCTGCCCTGTGCTCTCCTGTACTCCCCCCGCTCCTGGGCCCATTTCAGAGGCCACTGCTGCAGGCCGGCTCCCAACTCCATGGCGGGGGGGGGGGCCTTCACAGCCCAGGAGGGACCGCCAGATGCAGTAGCAGCTGGTCCACCATCGCCCTCTCGAACCCCGGCCCCTGCTTGACAAGGCCGCCTAAGCCTCGGGGACATCCATGTGCTGTACTGGGCCTTGGCTTCTTCCCCCAGGCCGTCCCAGAAATCTGTCTCCTCTGAATGGAAAAACCCCTGACAACAAGGGTGTAGTGTCTTGGCCTTGCGCCTGCCTTCCAAAGGCACCCGATGCTCAGGACACCACGGCTGGGCGTTGCTGAGCTCAGGAACTGAGCGACACTGAATGCACCGATTGTTCTCTGCACCCAGAGCCTGGGAAGTCTCCTGAAGGAGCAGAAGCGCCTCCTCTGGGCACACTTTAGCATCTCACGGGCATGCAAAGCCCTCAGTGTGACCACACCAGCTGTGCCATCCTGAAGGGGAACACGGAGGACACCTTTGGACTAAGGAGACTGGGTCTGGGAGCTAGGCCTAGTGGAGACCAGGGGTGCGCTGGGGTCTTGGCTCCTCAGTCTGGGAGGGTGGCTGCCGTCTCCAGGGATGCCGGAGGTTCCCTGAGAGAAGAGATGTGGAGGACGCATGTCGGGGTGGGCGCCCTGCCTGGAACACGTCGAAGCTCCAGGTCAGAGCCGTTGCTCAGCCCCTAAAGCCCTGTGACCCACTGTGTCATGTGACCTCCCTGAGCTTCAGTGGACTCTTTAGCAAAACAGAGTCATCTGATCATTGAACCCCATTCAGTGCAATATGATCTTGTTTTTCCACGCATCACACAGCCTCTTAGTGCCTGGCATCGTGTCTGGGGAGTGTGTCCGTGCAGGGCAATGTACCAGGCTGGGCCTGAGCCACAGATGGTGTCCTGGGCCCTGCTCCACCCACCCCCGCTGCTGCCCCCACAGCTCTGGGCTATGACAAGTCTCCAGCAAACATCCTGACAGCTCAGCATGGGTTCCTGACCTCCAGGGACCTGCCCTGAGCTAAAGGTGGGATCTATGGGCCCCTCGTGGCCCCTCTCCTTGTGACCTCTAACACAAGCCTGCCCCCCAGCTTGCTTTCCTCAATGCCCCCCAGCCCCACTCGGGGCCTCAAAAAGCCTCCACCAGGAGGTGGCACATCACCCTCCAGCCCCATCCTGAAGCAGCTGAAAGTTGCCTATAAGTTGGAAGTTGGAGACAGGGCCCAGCAGGAGCGAAGCCCAAGGGTGGGGTGGGGCGGGGGTGCCTGACGGAGAGGATCAGGGAGGGTGACACAGAGAGGGGCACTGAGGGGATGGTCTTGTGCCGCTGCCAAGAAAAGCCTGGAGGGGGCGCCTGGCAGGCTCGGTCGGTATAACATGTGACTCTTGATCTCAGGGTCATGAGTTCAAGCCCCACATTGGGCAAGGAGCCTGCTTGAGGCCCCGAGTGGGGCTGTGGGGCATTGAGGAAAGCAAGTCTGGGGGGCAAGACCAGTGGGGCATTGGAGCCTCCAGCAGCACAAGCTCTGTCCGTTGCAGCGGACAGGACCCCTCGATGCACACGGCTGGGCACATCCCAGCGCCACAGCCCCATGGCTCACCTCTGCTCTTGGATTCTATCCTGATAGCAAAGGGAGTTGCTTTTACCCTGCTGTGGAACAGACAGCAGTCAAGATGCCAGCTTCCCAGGTGAGCTGTTCGCATGAACTTTTAGTGCCTTCACGTTTCCGCCACATGCAAAATCCATGCCCCCATCAGTGCCTGAGGCATGGATTTTGGGGAGCGTGCACGGACCCCACACATGGATTCACGTGCACCAGTGCTTCTGCGAAAGGCCTCAGCGCCGAGGGCAAGAGTCGGGAGCAAATGCCAGCCAACAGCACAGATGGGCAGGGGCTCTGGGGGGCGGCCAAAGGGAGGGGCTGAAATGGCGCCGGGAGCACCCTGCAGGGGGGCTGCACTCCACCACTGACCACTCGACAGAGGTGGCTGCCAGCTGCTTTGCCTGCTGCGGGGCCCCTCAGGCCATCCCCTCCCCTCTCCCTGCATCAAGCCTGGGAGACTGGGGCCGTGATTTATGCCCATTCTCCTGTCAGGGGGACTGAGGCTCCCTGGAAATCACGCAGACTGTCTGAGACAACAAATGGGACAGGCTGTTAGGGCTCAGGTCTGCCTTTTTCCTTAAAGGCGAAGAGGCAGGCTCTCCTGCACGCCTTGTGTATGTGATCACACACGTTTGGGTGTGTGCACGTGGGTGTGAGCAGTGGGTGCGCCTGGGTGTGCACCCACGTTGGCGTGGTGGGTGGGTGTGCACAGGTGTGACTGTGTGGCATGTGTATGTAGGTGTGAGAGTTCGGGGGCTGCATGAGGCTCCCTGTGCGTCCCTTGCTCTGTCACGCTCGGCAGACATCAAATATCACCAAGGGCAAGTGCAGACCAGCCATTTCCTGAGTCCCCTCGGAGCCACACAGGCCCTGGGTGCACTGGGCAGGACCAAGGAAGGGCGAGGGCCAGGGCCTCCTCCTCGCTGGGCCTCTGCACACATTGCCATCCATCCTTTTCACAGAGCACTTAGGAAGGATGCGTGAGCCGACCCCAGGTGACCCGCTAAGGGTAGGCAGAGCCAGCCAGGCCTGTTGGACTCTGGCCCCTGGCTCTATCCTCCCCGCAACTGAGGTGGAACACCCCAGCATGGTCCCAATCCTCCGTCCCCACCCTCCACAGGTCCTGCTTTGAGCGCAGTGGCCTCGCTTGCATGAATGAATGAAAACATTATCTCCCAACAGAGGCAGAGGTGGTGTGGCCTGGGGTCCCCGGGTGGTCTCTGAGCCATCAGAGAGAAGGGAGCTCAGAACAGATGCCCCACGCCCACCTCTGCCCTCCTCCCAGCCCACCCCCGCCCCTACCTGAGCCCTGTGGGGCTGCACTGGACAGGATCCACTTGACCAGGCAGCACCGCATCAGGGCCTGGCGGGTGAGCCGCGGCCTCTGCCACTTGACGCCCTCCTTCTTGCTCAGTGGTGTGCGCCCAGGGTCCCCCAGGAGGCTGCCATCTGACACCTTCATCACTTCCTGCAGCAGGGACAGGCAGAGGAGCCCTGAGCCTTTGCTCAGAGAGGACCTCCAGGCCGACCCCAACCTCTGGGGCAAGGTCGTCCTTAATCCCACCAGGGTCTTGTTCCCAGATTCACTCTACCCGGGGCACATGGCCTGAGTTCCAGCTGTGGGAGGGCGCCCCCCTGCGTGGGCACTGGGTCTGAGCAGTCGGGTTGGTTGGCCAGGACAATGGCTACCAGCGTGGCCAGTTGGGGAGATCCTTCCAGGGTCGTGGGGTTCCACGCGTGCTGCCTTTGTGTCATCCTGAAACGTACGTGGTTCCCCAAAGCCAATAAACAGATGAGCAGTTGGGCAAGTGCTGCAGACCCGGGGCCCCAAACACAGCCCCTGTGTCGGTCAGCTCTCGGGCGCCAGAAGCAGAGACTGACCCCGGCAGATGACAACTGAAAAGGAATCAGCTGTGGGGGTCCCGGGCCAGCCACAGCCTCCCCAGAAAGGACAGAGAGCCAGTCTGGGAAGGCAAACCAGAGCAAAGAGCGAGCCAAGGGACAGCGGCCCTCAGCCACAGTCACCCCCAGAAGAGGCCTGGGAGAGCACTTCTGCTGCAGCAGAGCACCCTGGCCCCTGCTGCTCGCGCTTCCATGTGGGGAGGCCTGCTGGCCCTGGGGCCTGGAGGCTGCTCTGGGGGTCTTCTCAGTTGAGTCCCTAGCTCCAGGTTCAAGGTCGAGAGTGGAGGAATCTGATAGTCCCCGCCCGGGTCCTATGCCTACTCCCTGGCTGCAAGAGGAGTCAGGAAGGCGAGCATCTGGACTTTAAGGCTCTCTCATGTCCCCGGTATGGGCTTTCCTGGACACAAGGAGTAAGAAAATGCCTACAAGGTCCCCTGAACCAAGGAGTTTGTACAAATGCCCGAGTGAGGGGAAGCTGGTCTGCTGCATCCCGCAGGCTCCAGTTAAGCCGGAGAACCCTCCGGGTGCTGGGTTGGCTCGTGGCTCCCTGAGGCCCATTCCTGTTTAGGGCTGGACAGTCTGCCTCCCGGTCAGCTTTTGGTGAAGTGGCCGCCTAGACAGGGTGACGACCACACCCCTTTTCCTAATTTCTGGCCTTCCCAGTTGCAAGTGCCCTTTCTATCACCGTCACCCTCTAAGCCACCTCCCCGACACACACCCTCAGGAGCACCCCCACATTCCTTCCCTTCTCCAAGGCTCGCCCTGGCAATGAGGGGGGTCAGCGGTGCCCAGAGCTGCAGCGAGGGTGAGCACACCCTATCCTGGTGGGGAGAAGGAGGGGGTGAGCAGGGGTAGCCAGGGGTCTCAGGGTGCCAGGGAGACTGAGGGAGGCCCTCCGTATGCACATGCACACACGTACTTACACACGCACACATACACCCAGGTCCTGCCCCAGCTGTGTCAGAGAGGCACCTTCTCCATTATTAATAATCTTAGTCAGGAGAGAAACGGCCTCAATGAATAAGGTCTTTATTGCGGTCCAGGAGCGGGGTAGGGGGAAGATGGGCAGCTGGGGCTTCATTACTTCATGCGTTCTTTGCTGTAGGCTCTGCAGCTGGGGTTAGTGGAGAATGTCAGGAGGAAAAACTGCACTGGGCCTGAGAGCTATCCGGTGGGACCCCGTCCATCCCAGGACGATGCCGCCAATGCTGGCTGGCAGGGGCTGTCCTCGTGGAGCCCGAGGCTAGTCCTGGGGATTCTATCTTGCAGACCAGGCCCAACTAATGCAGGAGAGACCTGGCAGGGGGCCCAGGGTTCTGTCCTCCAGGGAGGGCTGGGAAGACCCACAGGCAGGGCGGGGAGCTCCATTTGGGCCTTTTATTCTGGGCCTCAATGTGGTCTCACCGTCAAGACAATCCCACAGGGTCGGCAACGCCACCCCCATTTTAAAGATGAGGAAACTAAGTCCCGGAGAGTCTGGGGGCAAGCCAGGGCCTCTCTGTACTTGTGGTCTCCTGGTTCCAAAGTTCAGGTGGTGCTGGCCACAGGCTGCACTGCTTAGCCTTCCCGGGGCCAGGCTCCGGAAAGGCCTCGGAAGCTGGGGAGGGGCTCCCAAGCCCCCAGCCACATCAGAGTAACAGTCTATGAATGTCCTGATACTCTCCTGGATGGATGAGCCCCAGTATGTGTGTTCTCCCTGATGCAGTGAGTTGGGGGTGCGAGTGGCAGGAGCTCTGGGAGCCCCGCAAGCAGGGCCTATGATGGCCTCCCCCGGTGAAGTGGGGGAGGGGTCCTTACAGGAGAGGAGGGGCCCACAGTGGCTGGCACAACGGTGGGTAGGGCCACACAACTGCAAGGAGGGGCACAGTCCACAGGCTGTGGATTGGGCCCATCCTCCCAGGCGGGAGGGCAAGGAGGGACGAGTGACGGCAGGTCATCCTCATGAATGGTTGACGCTGGTCTGTCTGGGAGAAGGTCTGTCTGGGCTGTCAGGAAATGTTAGTGGCCACTCTGGGCACCCTGCTCCTGATTTGGAAGCTCTCAGGCATAGAAGGGAGGGAGCCCTGAGAGGTGACACAACCCCCTCACCCCAAGATGCCTCTGTTCTAAGAGGTGACAGAATTGAGGAGCGCTGAATCAGTGAGGAAACTCCAGCTTGAATTAAATCCCCTCCCATCCCTGCTAAGCACCCCGTGGCTTCCACTGCATTCCGAATAAAACCCCAATGCCTTCCTCCCGCCTACAAAGCCTCAGTCAGTGCAGCCCGACCCCGATCGGCCGGCCACGCGCACCCAGCGCCAGCGCCCGCCTCCGCTGTGCTCCTCACGCACGCCAGGCAGGTGCGCGCACCGCTGCTCCTCTGCTTCTCACCCCACCCCCCCGCCCCGCAGCTTCCCTCCAGGGTCTCTCTATAGTAATCCTTACAGCCACATGTGATTCCACAGTGATCTCTGTAAAGTCTCAAATAAAAATACTGTCCACAAACAAAAAAGGCTATTAAATATACATACACACTTGAAAACCTCAAGAAATATTCACAAATGACTAGATGAAAGTCCCCTGACGCTTGTCATAATTCAACTGAGAATTTCTCTCCTCCCACTCCTGCTTGATCCTGCATCATTTCCACAGTGGCTGGAGCCATCCCTTCATCCTCCGTGGGCCTCAAGGGGTGGCCAGGTTTGGGTGGCAGAGACCGATGAAGCCAGAGGACCTGCGCCCTGAGGCCCAGCAATGGCCCTTGGCTGGCCCTGCAGACCTGCAGCCTTCTCTGAGGTCCACAGATTCCCCAAAGGGCAGAGGTCGTTCCTTGACAACCCAGAGCTGAGACTCGCAGCTCCTGTCTGGCCAGATGGGTCAGGGGCAGGTCTTAGGTCACTTCCAAGTCCAGGTCTGTGGGGAGCAAGGGAGGGACAGAGAGGACACCAAGCTGGTTGGTGATGGACCTGCTATGGGCCAGGCACTTGGTTAGGAGTGTGGAGATGCTGTCTTATTTGATGCTCACACCAATCTATTGAGGTTCCTTCGACCCTCCTCCAAATCAGCCCTTTGAAGCCCAAGTCCCAGAATAGATTCTTCCTCACACCCTCTTACCAAGCTTGCCCGGTTCCCCCATAGTGTGTGTTCTCTCGTGCTCAGGGTCAAGGAAGAGTCCACCTAACTGTCCAACTTCAGGTGTGTCCTGGTGGGCTTTGGCTGGAGGTCATGGGCTCCCAGGGCTGGAGCTGGCCACTGGGCACTTGGGAGATGCTCCCATCTGGTTTGGGAGACGCCTTAGACTCTGGGGGGTGGGAGGGGTGCCCCAACTGCCCTCTACGTCTGCCTCCTCCTTACAGAGATGGGGTGTGGCCTCGGCTCAGAGTCTCGGCAGGCCACATGGGGGGGGTGGTTAATGCTGTTGTTTTGTTTTTGTTTTCATGGCATCCATACTGTTACCTTCTCCTTCATCAGTGGCTCCCCTCTTTCCATTTACAATAATGCTTTAAAGATTCCCCTTTCAATGCATTTATTAAAATTTAAAATGTGAGTAAATTTAAAGAAAAAATAAAAAACCAATCACACAGATTGTGGCAGATAAGGCAAAGTCAGTGAAGACAGAGTACCAACAGCTAGGAAGCTTGGAGAACTAGGGGCCTGCTCGGTGCAGCCTTGCTGAGTCCCCGGGGTCTGAGCTGCCCCAGACAGGGGCCCCGGCTGCAGGTGACTACTGAGCACTTGAAATGGGGCTAGTCCAAATTAAGATGTGCCATTGGTGCAAATAGACACCGGCTCCAAAGCCTTACTTGGAAGGATATAAAATAGCTTATTAATTTTATATTGCTTACATATTGAAATGATAATATTTACACTGGGTTAAATAAAATATATGATTAAAAATAACTTTGCTTTTTATTTTTTTTTTAAAGATTTTATTTATTTATTCATGAGAGACAGAGAGAGAGAGAGAGAGAGAAGCAGGGGGAGAAGCAGGCTCCCCGCTGAGCAGGGAGCCCGATGCGGGACTCGATCCCAGGACCCTGGGATCATGACCTGAGCCGAAGGCAGACGCTTAATCATCAGAGCCACCCAGGCGCCCTAACTTTGCTTTTAAAAAAAAACTTTCTTTAATGTGCCTCCCTGAACATTTAACATGACACCTGCGACTCACACTACACTTTTATTGGCTAGCACTGCTCTAGATGTTCTCAGACCAGCCAGTTGGATGGTTTGGGGCAGCCTCCTCCTGCCAGGGCATATGCTGACCCCAGTTCCTCTCTCCTTCTCAAGTCCCAGCTAGGGTCCGTCAGACGTGTTTCAGAAAGGTGGCCCAGTGGGGTGTGGAGGAAGGGTGGGGGGGGGCAGGGAGGCAGGAGGCCAACCTGGGGGCGGTGCCCAAATCCAGGGGAGGAAGTGGGGGTGCTGAGCCAGGCCCAAGCAGTGGGAGGGAGGGTGAAGATATTAGTGGGTATTTAGGATCTGCTGTGGATGTGGGTAGTGGGGGGTGCTGAGGGGACTCCCCAGTAACTACGACAGTTGTCTCCACAGAGACGGGGGAGCAGCACAACCCCTCATATCTTCTAGCCACCC